CAAGATTTTCAGTGCTTTTGTTTGCAATGCTAGATAGGGCTTTGGCAAGAAAAGCTTTCTTGGCACCTATAGCTCCTTATTCCCAGAAGCACTCCAAGTCTGAGCGTTGAAACTGCTGGAGACAGAAAGACAGAAAAAAAAGGTGTTGAACACACCATAGCTTCAAAGAATAGTTACGTGGAGCTGCAGGAAGGAAATCAGGAAGGGTTTAGAAAAGCAGCTGTAACTTGGATTACAGATGGCCCAGAGATCCAGCCTGACTCACATCCAACCAGAAATCCCTGTAGTAGGACTGAGACTGACTCCAGCCCTCTAGATTGCCATGTCAGGACCCGAACGGCTCCCTGGTGCTGCCCTCCAGCCATCTGGGCTCAGTCCATGTATCAAAATTGCAGATTTCACAAGACCTGTCTGGAGATGATTATGGCAGATTCATTTTCTGTGTGCATCTCTGTGCACATTCTCTGTGTGGAACAGCTATTTTGGGGCATTTCAAGTTGCAGATAAGCCTTTAGCCAAGGTGTGAAACTGAAAAGAGAGCTCCTATTTCATCAGAACCAGCCCCAAAGCTCCTTTCTTTTTCATTGTGTGTTTGAACCAAATCCTATAGTGGCTATGAGGAGGACATAGAGAGATGTCAAAGCTGAATTTAGACTTTAGAGAAACTGATTATACAAGAGAGAGAAAGAAACTCAAATTCAAAGATATGAGAAGGAATAATAATGAGAAGGAATGTTTAATGTTGCGTGAAAAGGAGTTGTAAGTTTGAAGAAGAAATTATAATAAATTGCCACAAAGACAGGGCAAGTGAAATGTGTTCAGCCTCAAAAGTCATTAAAGCAAGTCTAAAAAAAGAAAGTTTTGATCCTAATTAAGAGAAGCTTCTTGCTGGTAGCAACTCATGTAATATCTGCACTGTTAAAACAAGGCTAATACCTCGACAGAACTTCAATGTACATTATTTATGGGTTTCTATGGTGCTGCCCATTGTATTACCTAACAAACATGAAAGAGCTTAACTTTACGTCATCACTGCCAGGCACAGCATGTTCATTAACCCTGTTACACAAATGAGGAAATTTAAGAAGGTTAGGTAACTTCCATACGCTTGCTCATGAAGGAAACAGTCTCCTGGCCCTTTCCAACATTCAAAGCAAAGCGGCAGCCCTCCTCCCTCCCCAGGACCTTTCCTCTCGGCACAGAGGGGCAGTGAAGATCAAGGTCTCACTGGACATTCCCTCTTCCCAGCACTAAGGCCTGTCAGTGACTTGGTTGCACCACGAAATCCCTTCACCCCCACCAGGCCTGCCTTGACTGCTTTCCCACTGGAAGAGTGCCAGTGCCAAGAGCCACCTTGGCTTTCCCTCTTAGTGGCTTCACCACCCGCCCAGCCCTTCTCTAGACTCCCTGTGGGCCTCATAGGATCCCCTTTGATTACCTCTAATGGTTCTGACCTACTTAGTCTAGAGAGAATTTGACCCTTTGGTTTCTTGCTGTGAGATCCCTGTCCCATTGTCTTTCTGGGTAAATAGTGGACTCGTGGTAAGAGATGCCAGCACTGGGAAACTAGGCATGAATATTTAAAGCAGAGAGCAGAAAGGAAGGCAATGAACATTGCTAGAAAACAGAAAGAAGTGATGTGATCACGTCTGCATGAATGGCTTCCAAACCGTTTCCCAGTGACAACCTCACTTCTGTCAGGCATGTCTTCGCCAAGAGTGCTATAAAACATCAAATTCCCTCCAGGCTTGTGACGCTTCACGAGGGGTCTGCTGTGTGTGGTGGAACAACTAGCAGAGGGTCGGTTGTCTGGATAGCTTCTTCTGTCCAATTCCTCTGCCTGAAAAAGAGCAAATGGGAAAAATGCCATGGTTTTCTGGAAGCCTGGATGGTTGCCCACAGTGAAATGGCATGATCTGTAGGATCTGCAGGTGATTGTCAACACTTGTAAAGTTTTTCATTTGTGTCTGTGAAGCTTTCCAATAAAGACCAGCCCTGCCACTCTTCAGTGACTCTGTTGCTTCCTATTTAAAGAAGCCTGCATTATAGCTAAAATCCCATTAGACAGAGTGGAAACCTCTCAAGCCTGGTACTAAAAAAGAAAAAAGCACAGTGTATGGAAAAAGAGCTCTCACTTCCCTAACCCAGTTACTCCCCAGAATAATCGAACAGCTCTTAAGAGACTGCCTTTGAGAGCTTGCTGTGGTCTTCCAAAACGTTATTTGCCTTTTTTTATCATTCAGAGTTAGCATTAAATCTTACTCAGTCCATACTCAAGGATTTCTTCTATCCTCTGCTCTGCTCTTACCCAGTTTCTTCTTTCCCTGATGGGTTTAATCCTGGGAGGTGCAGGAGAGAAGACAGTTGTGGAATAAGACCCCAAATTCTGGTGTTGGGTCAGAGGTCTGGGCATCTTTCCTTGCAAGTAGGGGCTTATAAACGCTGACAGAGAGGCAGGCTGGTAAGTCCACACCACGCATATGGCACTGAGCAAATTTACCAGCCTGGGTAAGTCCTAAGGCCCCAAGTTCTCTTCAAAGGAGTTAGGAAGTGAAAGGCAGTGTGAGGCAAGAGTGGCTGTGCTACCTCTGGGTCCAAGCTCTTGCTCCAGGCTTCCAGGGTGTTTCCGTCCACTTACGTTTATGCAACCAGGAATAACTAAGGCAGAGTCACCTCAGCTTTGCCTACTCCCGCTGATGTCAACATGGCATAAACTGAGCTTCCTCCTTTCCCAATCCAGGCTAGCATTTTGAATGGGAGACTTCATGAATCACAATGCCTGAAATGCCTCCTCTGGCCTCCGGCCTCCTGCAGGACTTTGGGCAGATCACACAGGTCCAGAATCTGTATGTTTTGAAAATAATAAGTGCACCATAAAAACCCACCTTTGGGTACCTTAGAAAAACACCTGAGCCTCAGAAGGGCTGAGCAACCTCCCCCCATGGGGGAAACAAGGCTTCAGCTGACTAACTGTAGGCACTCAGTTAGCCTTCCCTCCTCTCTGTGCCACCCACATGCTCATCTGCAAAGTGGGGATCATTATATCTGACTCACTCTCCAGGTACTTGGAAGCTAATTTAATTAATGCTTGTCAAGCACTTTAAGGTCTTCAGATGAAAGGAGCCACAGATAGTCAAAGCATTGCTATTACTATTAATTATTTCTATTGTGCAAGTAGACATGAAAGCAGCAAGGGTGATGATTATTTGCTTCCCTTACAAGTGGCAAGACACAGTACAAATGTATAGACAAGAGATCATGCCTGCCCCATAGTGCTCCTAATCTTACAAGCCAGATAAACTAAACAAAGAGCGAGAAAAGAAGCCCAACCCAGAGAAAAGCAGTGTATGTGACAACTTACCGCACACTTTTTTTGTTTTGTGGCAACGCCTGCCTTTAAAATGTGTCCTGTTGGCCAAAAAGCACAATATTGCCATTTTGAGCTATTTAAAAGTCATAAAATTTCTCAAAAATATAATGTATAGTAAATGCTACTTGTCCTTATTTAGCTTCTGATTTTTGAGCACTGAAGATCAAGGTTTCAAGTTTTTCTCCACAGCTACGAGGACTGAAAACATTTCACTCGTTCTCTGTGTACAGTTCAAGTGCTTGGATATGTAACACAAATCATCAGCAGCAATAGTTTGATCGGTACCAGCTACACAGTAGGAGCAATCTGCATGTGCTCGGTGGCAGCAGCTTGTCCATCCTCCTCCTCCCCCACATCCAGGAAATATCTCTCCTCCACTCTTAAAACAGAGGGGGAGCTATCACAATTAGCTTTTACTTCCTACAGCACGTCAGGGACTTTGTGCACACCACAGAGGAGTTTGCATGTAGCGACGAGACACCCCATAACAATTTTTTTCTTTATCTAATCTCTAACTGGATGGACAAAGGGACAGAGGAGAGAAGCAACCCAGGGTGCAGAACTACCCCGCGCTCACCGTTCTCCTCCAGGCCACTGCAGCTCTGCTTCCCGCTCCCCTGGAAATGGTTCCTGTCCTCCCCCTGCCCTGGGGTGGTCCCTGGGATGACTGGGCTGTGGGTCAGCTCTGGGAGTCAACTCTGGCTTTGAGCTACTGCTCACAGAAAAATCAAGTGTTTCCCAGCAAGACGTTGAAAACTCTAGGTGTGCAGCTGCAAAAGGGCTGGCACTGGCGCAAGGGCAGGTGTTGCCCAGAGAGGTTGTGGAGTCTCCTTCCTTGGAGATATTCAAAAGCTGTCTGGTCAGGGTCCTGGGCAATGTGTTCTAGGTGACCCTGCTTGAGCGGGGGCTTGGACTAGACAGTCTCCAAAGGTCTCTTCCGACCCCAACTGTTCTGTGACTCTGTGAAACATGGCCAAAGCCAGCGGTGTAGCGAGGCCAGGACACTTGCAGGGGAGATGCAGCCAGCCCAAGCCTTCCCACCCTTTCTTAAGCATGCAAAGGGTCACAGAGGCAGACTGTGGGGCTGCAGATACCGGGCTAGCTTGGTGGTCAGGCGGTTCACCCTGAGGAGGGACGTCTGCCTCCCATGCCTTCTTCAGAGACTGCTTCAGCCCATTCGTGGAATGGGATTGCAGCTGGATCCTTCACCTCCAGGGCAAATCAAGCAGCCGCTGAACTATTGGTTAAATGGTGTCACGCTTCTTCTGACTGCAGTATGAATCCAAATGGTTTTCTTGTTTGTTTTTCCCAAGTAGAGATATCCAGTTCATTAATACAAGTTGGTGAATAGGTTTGGGACAACTTCAGCTGTGTTTTTTAGTGAATTTATCATGCAACAAGAAGAAAGAGGCCTGATGCAAGCTACCACCAGCTATGATCTGCTATAAAACTATTAAACTACTCTTAAAGAAATCCCAGCATCTTACAAAAAGAATTCTTGAAAGGAAGAGTCAACAGTGTTTCTGCCTGGTCAGAGGCAAGTGTACCCTTATCTCGTAACAGCCACGCATAGTACTGATGCAAGCATGATCAGGGTAACTAAAGCAGGTCGAAAAAGCTGAACCAGCTGTCCTCCACGCACCCCTTCAGCTTTCCGGGTCTGCGTCATTCCCAGCACTTACACGAAGCTCCCTCTAATGGCCGGAGACGACAGGTTTCCCCGCTGCCCTGCGCCATCCACCAGGGCAAACTGCGGGCTGGTAACCCCAGCAGTGCGCAGGGTGAGATGTGTGTACAGAAGGCCCTCTAGGTTTTTATTTTTTTAACGTATGTAGGTTCGTCTGTCACCTAGTGCTCTTTTATGACCCTGTCTCCACCCAGTATCTTCCCTTTTAATGCTTCTCCTGATTCTCGCCTTTCTCCCAGGCCTCTGGAGACTTGCTGTCACTGCAAAGTTAATGCACGTCCTGCTCTTAGCTCAAATTGGGCTACACCCCAATGTCAAAAGAATAGATCACACCACAGAGGAATGAAAGCAGTATGTGCCAGACGGTTTGTTTATCTTTTTCAAGACCAGCTTTTTGATGTTTCCCTAATGCAGGCTGTGGTGTGGCTGTTGACTCGAGCCAGCTCTCCTGCAGGGACCTGAGGCCAAACCCCCCCAATAGCATGGTACCGCTGCTGCTAACATGGCCACAGAGCTCAGGGCAAACAGCAGTGCAGCTGCCCACGAGCTGCACCAGGCTGTGTTATTATCCCTGACTGATATGTGGGTAAGTGGAGACAGATAGCCCATGTGCTTTCAGAAGGCATGATTATGTCTCCTTTTGGTACCTAATTTTAGGCAACAAACAAAAATGCTTACAGCTAAGTGTCCACCTTCCTCAATTCCTCCCTCAACCACCATTAAAAGAAAAAAAATGAAACTCCCTTTTAGTAGACATAGGAACAAAAAAGTGCAACTAGTCTGAAGATGAAGATTGCTTAATTTTTTGGAAAATTGTATGATGTGGTTTTCTCTGCAAGTAAAGTGTCTATTTCAGAAATCTAGATGGTACTAAGAAATGTCCACAGGAACTCTCCATTTCTGGAGGAAATCACCTTGGGCCCTTCTGCTGCATATGATATGTCAAGAATTAAAATAAATATTCTTCTGCCCCGTTATGAGCCGAAATCAACAACTTCAGAGGCAGTAGTGGGATGTTCTGTCCTTTCTTAAATCCCTAAATCCAGCTGGAAAAAATAGACAAACTTCAAGATCTGAAGACTAGCTATATTTGCAAAAGTTTCCCTGATTTTTCCACGTATAGCAGTTTCTCTGATACAGGTGAAGTAAGTAGTAAGTAAGCATACTAGTAAGCAGTAATACTGGCCACAAACCTGGCCTCATGTATACATCTGAAACATTACAGCTACAACATCACAACTGGTACTGATTTTAAATTCTTTCTTTTTTGGCAGAAAATGAGATGGGTAGAGTAAAAGACAGGACAGTCTTCCCTCAGAATAACGAAGCGCTTAATGATCGCTCTTAACCTCTAGGCTGTTGTCCTTCTCTTTCAGTTTGGTTGAAGTTGCTGCTCCGGGTGCCTTAGCCTAGGGACTCACACTGGAGTTTTTAAATTCTCTGAGAGCACCATAGGCTACTTGGCCAAGCCGGGTGTCTCTCAGTTTGACCAGAAACACCACCTTGCACTGCAGAAACCGTTCCTCCTGAAAACGTCAAATGTCTCTGACGAATGCAACCAACCTTTTTCAACATAACACACACTTCTTTGGAATATTCCCAATGTTCAGTCTTCATGACTGAAGGCTTCCTGGGAGAAACAGGGCATTTCAGGGGAAGTTAGGAAGACAGGATGGTACTTGAATCACTAGAGGAATTAACATTTCTCCCATTTAGTCAGGTAAGCAGGGTATTTCCAGTGGATACTGCTTTTGGCTCTTAATTCATCTGCACCTTGAGCACA